TCCCACCCCCACAGCTCTCCACAGCCCCCCCAACTCCCCACCTACCCCCCCGAGCTCCCCACAGCCCCCCCCACCTCCCCTGAGTGCCCCCTGTCACATGGCTCCCACTGCCCATGGCTCTCTACAGCCCTCCACTTTCCCCCCCGCCGCCCCTGCCTCCCCCCACCTCCCCCTGAGTCCCCGTCCCCCCAAGCTCAGCACCACATGGCCCCCACCCCCATGGCTCTTCCCAATCCCCCACCTGGCCCCCCAAATCCCCTGCAGCCCCCCACCTCCCCTAAGTGTCACCAGCCCCTACCCCCCACAGCTCACCACAGCCCCTCACCTGGCCCTTGAGCCCCCCCCGCAGTCCCCCACCCCCTGCCACACAGCACCCACCTGCCTCCCATCCCTACCCCCCAGGACACCCCACCTCACCCCCAACTCCCCCAGTCCCCAACACACAACCCCCCACCCGGGCAGGGAGGGGCTCCCGGGGGGGGGCCGGACCCTTCCTCACTTTGGTCCCCGTCCCCAGGTCACCTGCGTGGTCAATAACTTCCAGAGCAAGGCGCCCGCGGCCCCGAAGCCGGCGCCCCCCGAGAGCCTGGCCAGCGTCCCCGGCGTGGGGCTGCCCTGCGTCGAGAGCCCCCTGGAGAAGTTCAGCGTAGCCCAGGTGAGGGGCAGGGATGCGCCCAGCTCTGGGGAGCCGCCAGCCAGCCGCAGGGCAGTGACTGGCTGCAGTCTCTGGGGCCGGGGTCTCTTTGCTCAGCCACAGGGGCACCCCCCCCCCGAGCCCCAGGAAAATGCAGGGTGGAGCGGGGTGGGGGGGCTGCAGGTGGGATTGAGGGGCTGCCAGGGGTGGGGGTCACGTGGCCTCACTGCGATCCCCTCCCCCACCTGGCACTCTGAGCTGGCGGCGAGCCGGGGGGGGGGGCAGGTTCTAGGGACGGGTGTTGGGGGGGGGGGTTCCCTTCGGGGTGGGATCAGGACGAGGGACAGTGGGGCCAGGACAGTGCGGCCTTAACCCCTGGCCCCAAACGTGTGGGGCTGGGAACTTCATAACCCCCC